CGGTTCCCAGATATTTTTATATTTACTACATTTCTTTCGAGGAACAATCTGCTTCCAGCAGCTGCGATATAATTCAAGTACGATTTTATGAGGTTCACGGCCGCATTTTTTTTTAATATTTGCATCACTAAAAAATAACCTTTGAAATTTCAGTACCGTATAAAGTGTAGTCGTTCGTATAATAAATTATTTTTCTTTAATGGAAGGTTTATTTCAGTTAAACTGTGATTAAACATAAATGCTTAAAAAACTGAATGGAAAAAGAATAAGATAGATAAACCATCTTCTGGAAAATCAATATGATATAATAATACACAATATATGAAAAAAGTAATTATTTTAATTACCGTGCAATTAAATGTACTTTTGTTGAAGAAAATATTGATTTCCTCAAGCCTTCTTAATAAATATAAGCTTTGCATAGCACAATATTCAGCCTGCGTGGAAACTAGAAGGTCATAGGAACTGGCTCTGTGAAAAAGGTGACGTCGTTAAATAAGGGTTAGGTTATTTGAATATGACAAAGCTAAGAGGACTATCTGCCTAAGAGAAGGAATGCCTTCGTTAAGAACTTTTCGAGAGAAACTGATTCATGCTCACGTTTTTCACGGTAAAAATTACAAAAACCTAACATGCAGGCACGCATAAGTTCACGAGAGTTCGAATCCCAACTAGGTAGAGGTTAAATTATTTTCTTCATAATGAATATCCTATGGATCGTGTTATATAGTTCTTACAGATGTCTAGTGATCTTATATAATCATTGTTGATCACCATAAAATCATTAATCAGATCATCATTAAATCACCATAGAGAATAAATAAAGAGAAATACACTCTTTTGGAAAAAAAAAAAAAAAATCAAAGCACCGTGAAGGAAGTGCTTGTTTTTGATGAAATTGAATATGTGTATAGCTCATACACAGATAATAAAATGATTAAAATATCAAGGTCATAGTACCTGTTCACGGCTCACAATCATCTATTGAGTGTTTAAATTAGTTGGACGAACCGCCCCTGGCGTCAAAGCATGCTGGAATTCGTCGAGGCAAGGAGTGGTAGAGGTTCCTAATGTCATCCTGCGACACATTCTGCCAGGCATTCATCAGTTGTCGCTCCAAATCTGCGATATTTTGTGGTGCCCGAATCTGGCGGCCTACCATGTCGCAGACATGCTCGATGGCTGAAAGTTCTGGTGAGCTTCCTGGCCAATGAAAAGTATCAACCGCACGGAGACAGTCCAGAGATATGCGAACAGTATGTGGCCTGGCATTATCTTGTTGGAAAATGGCCTCAGGATGACATGACATGAACGATAATGCAACCGGCCGCAGGATGATATCAACATATCGTTGAAAAAATCTTGCAAATTATTTTAATGATGGTTTGATGATATAATATCATTTAATACTGTAACTTCTCATTCCTGAGATATAGAAGCATACTTTATAATGAAAAAGTACAGTTTAAAATCTCTGTTCAGGGCATGACTTTTCAATATCTGTGTTCACTGTTGGATTATGTTTGCTAAAATATTGTTATGCTAACTCATTTCCCTAAATCTGAAACACACACCTCAGAGTTTTTAATGAATTATAAAAAGAAAAAAATCTAATGTGGACATCACATGGCTACTTCTTATTACGTTATACGTATATTTTGGTGAACTCCATTTAAACTTATTTCTTGGAATTATTTTAACTTAATTAACCGATTCCTCGAGACAAGTTGAATATGACACCGAAATTTGCAAAGTTTGTAAATAAATATCCCGCTTAATTTCTCCCGTAGAGTAGTCTCAAAATTCTTGTATTTTATTTTTTCATAATAAGTACAAAACTTTCCCATATATAAATATAGAAAATCGGAAGACCGTACTAAAAGTTAAATTTCATTATTTGTATAAAACATGAATATTTTCATCACTTAAAACACTTCTGTTATAGGAAGTTTACGCCTACTACCAATGTTTGGGAAAACAAGGCCGGGTAAGGGGGTTGGGTATGTATATATATATATTATGGTATTGACCGATTTCAAACGTGCAAACTAAGTACAAACTGTGTCCCATCTATAAAATTTCAAAGTTCTACGTCTAATTACGTGTTATGGACGTCACCAAAAAGTCTATTTTGAATCCATTTTGCAATCTGTTCCGAATTACTTTTCAAATTGTTGCCCGGAAATACTATCGACTTGTATTACTCTTAAAGAAATTAAATAATGTAAAATCTAAATGTATGAAATGAATGTATGCATGTTTCTCGCACTGTGAAAAATGATGGTATCTAGGGTCGTCAAATTTTGAATAACGTAGTCCTCCACTTGTGGACTTGGAAGCCCGAATTTTGAATTTCGAACTTTATATTTCATATTTTGCAAAACATTAAAGAACATTTAACAAACTCAACGATTTGAAAGCGAGCAGTGGAAAACTGTACGGTTTAAAACATTATTATATACAGCGTGCGAGACTGTATATCGGAAATTTTAAAGATATGCTGTTTTTAGATATTTTGAGATTTTGCTGTTCTGAATTTTATGTCACGTAACTGCGAAAAACATGTATTTAATTAATAAAATTAACACATAAAACGTTAGTATTAAGAAAAAAAAATTTGAAGTCATCTTACTACGAAAATCGTACATTAGTATTATAAACTGAACAAAGACTGTAAAAAATTAAAACAAATATGTAGCACCATCGGGGCACATCACATCATCGGGAATTTAAACACATACTTACTTTTAAATTTTTTATAATTTTGCTGTTGAGTTGTACATGGCGTATGTGCGAAGAAAATAATCCTTAATAATAAAAAAGGCAGGAAAATAGACATAAAGAACTTTAACAAACTCCTTTGGGCGACCAATGAAATCTGAGTCGTTTGATATTCTTTTTTGTTTGATGATTAAATAATTTTTTATCGATATTTCATCCATGTCTTCGCTATATGAACAAGCCTAATAAAGTCTCGTTGCTTGCATCGTCAGATAGTGAGGAAAAAAAAACTATTTTAAATGAAAAACAAGGAGTTGTTAAAGGAAAATTCTAATTTTTAGAAATTTTTCGAAATTTACTGTATTTTTGTAATGGTTTCGTGTCTATTAATTTAAAACGTCAACTTCTAAATATGCATCTAGTATAATAAAAATTGTGTAAATTTTTATAAATTATGAAACAAACTTTATACCTCTGTCATACCTAGAATGATAAAAAAAGTATTAACTGGGAAATTTTCTAGAATATATCTACTCTGCATCTTTTACTTAACTTCTCTTTACTTTTACCTCTGCTTTTTAACTACACCTTCTACTTAGTGTCGCACTGTTTTAGGATTTCAAGTAGAGGTTTCCAAGCTTTTAAGCATCAGGTGATTTGTCTTAGAAACATGCTGTTTCGAGGATATAATGCCATTATACGTCACATTATTTCTTTGTTCCATGAAGGATTTTCTGATATAGATTTTACTTATCTATGTATTCTTGCTAGAAAATATTATTTGCTAAGAAGTTAGGTATACTATGGAAGTTTTCTGCCGCTTTTTCCCTTTTATTTTTTCTTAATTTCTGAAAGATAGATTTTTCATTTTGTAATCATTTATTAATCTCACATTTACCTTCCGTACTTATAAAGCAAAAGAGTTTACGGACTAATTGGCGTTTGAAATTGCTTGCAATGATATATGTTGTGTGATTTACAATTTTTCCCATTTTTTAAAATTATTAAATATCATTCATATGCATTGTTATATTCTTTTTTAGAATTTTTAAATATGAACATGTAAAATTGTTTGTTATGAAGTTGATAAATTTCGCAAAAGCAATTTTTCGCCCTCTTTTAGAACAAGAATGATAAAATGCTAGAATTTAGCCGATTTTATCAACATAAACCGTTAACCATCGTTCTAACTCGCCAAACCAAATGGGCATACTAGACCTCAAGCTAGCCTCAATATCTGGACTTTCATCAACAGTTTATAGCAAATATTTTATTACATCGTTGTGTAAAATAAATGAAATAAATTTCTAAAACCTTATAATTTGCTAGGTGGAACATTTCAAAATCTATTTTTTTGTGAACACAATTCTCGGTATTAAAAATAACATCTTACGGTTAGAATGAAGTTTTGTAGTCAATAAATAGGCTACAAGTGTCTATATCTAGTGTTTCCCTCTTTTTCCCCTTTTTATTATATATATATGCCGAAATGCCGAAATTGGAATTCTTTCTGAAATGAATTTTAGTGTTATTCAACAGTTAGTTGATTTGATTTCAATGAACTAACAATTGAGTTAAAAGGAGTAGATGTTACTTTAATTCGTGAAGAGACGCAAAATATGTGCACAATATTTTACATTTTTATTTATTTACTTTATTAGTATTTAACGATGAAGGTGTTATTTATTCTGTAATATGTAATTTTTAGATTGATTTTTTTCCTTGTAATCTCATATGCATATGGATTCGCTTGCTTTTTTGATTCAAATGAAAATAAAATGTATAAAATGCAAAATTTAAGATTTTTGTATAAAATGCATTCAAAAAGTAGGATTATCCGAAGTGATGCATATAAAAATTAGCACCTCCTGCTTTAATAATGGTAATTAATCTGATAATGAAATATCTTAGAAAACATGTTGTTCGAAGTGACTTTGGCTCCAGTTAGTTTGGATAAACGGCATACAGCTGTACTTTTTCTTTTGTGTTAAATGTATTTAGATACCTGTGAAAAAAATCTGTGCTACATATTCACAAGTTTTTTTGTGCACCGGTCAATAATCTGTTCACAGTTTTCATTCATTAAGTGAAGCACGTAAATGTTTTCCTGTGGTCACATGGTTGTTTTCATTAAGTGCGGCTAAATATAGGCTAACGACCCATAAAACTGAAGAATGGAAAATGTCTTTTTAAGTGTTTTTAAGTAATGTCACAAAACTATGTCAAGTGTTCTTTAATAATAATGAAAACATTTCTTTTTTCCCATTTGTTTATTTCAGGATGTGCCCAAGGCGCCACTGACTGTGAGTCTCATTCTTCTCGTTTGCTCTTTGATATCACTTTTCTTCCTGACCATCACTATCTTTATTTTCTTTTATTTCAAGTAAGTATCTTATCTTAATGTGTCTCTTTAATATAAATACAAACGACTTCCATTTAGTCCAAAGAGAATTAACCCAGCATTTTCTAAAAATATATAATTTGTTTATTGAGGAATGGTGGAAAATTACTATCACATATCACCGACATCATAGCATTTTGAAGTCGTTTTGATTCACAACAGTATGTAATTTAAATGTGCATAATGAAGAACATGTAAAACTTTTAAATTATCCAAAAAATGAAATAAAATATTTCCCTCCGAAAGAGTATAACTGACTTTTTTAAACAAGTTTAAACTCAAATACATTGTTAAAATTCTGCTATAAGTAATTTGGGATGATGCCATTTAGGATATAACGTAATTTCTTCATTCTTTCATTACTTGCAATCTGTTATCTCCGTTTTGAATACCGATGTTAGTTACAAATGAAATTTCAACTTTAGGAAATATGAGTCAATGTGAATAGTTACTTTCTGATCATTGTAATATGGGTTATTCTTCTTTCCTCTGTTTATTGATTAACCTCGTATTAACCATGAACGTCATTCTCGGTGTTACTTAATAAGTCGTGAGCTGAATACATGCTTTTAGTAAATAACGAGGTAAATGTTCTAAGTTTATATAAAATTTGACTGAGATTATTAATACACGTAGAGCTGAAAAAATTATATGTAACCATAACTGATCAGTTCAACATCTCACTGTTCAACAGTTTACTTTTTGAAACATTAATTTTTACCATAATAACAATTAATTTCTACTTTTTCAGTGACTATAAATTACTATTAGTTTTACAGAATAATAATCGATTTTGATTATAAAATAAATATTTATTTTTCATTTCTTTTGAATTCTCGAAACAGGAGTCGCATATTCAGTTCAAAGTTATTTTTGAACATATTTGTTTTGTATGCTTTAATTTTCTGAAGAAAATTGTAAATCTAATAATTTAACATTTTCATTCATTTTCCATCCTCCTCAAGTTTTAGACTTCAAGTTTTAGACTCAAGTTAGAAAGTTAATGCTCTTGAATCAAATTTAATACTTTGAAGCTATTATCGCTATTTATTAACTCCCCAAATAAAAGGGAAACCGATGAGGAACACAGCTTATACTATTCGACAGGCCTCTGTTGCAAAATGCACTTAAAGACAAATGAAATTTGAAGCAAAATATTCTGAAAATAAGTGGTTAAATTTCGTTTGGAAAATTGGACGCAATATAATACATGTAAAGTCACTGGCTATGCGTCATTGGCTATTTACAAATTTAAATATTTATCTTTTACTGATATTTCGCTATTATGATTTAAGGTAGTCCTTTGTTAATCATTTAGTAGGAGAAAAAAGCACATCATAACATTAAAAAGGAAATAATATACCTTTTGCATCTTAAAATCACTTAAATGTAAAATGTGTTTTATGCATGACTGGAAGCTCAATAATAATTAATAATGACACGTGTTTAATCAATGCATAAAAAGCTAAGCAAGAGAAAAAAAGACGATTAAAAATTCCGTCTGTAAATTTCATCATATTTTAAACTGAGCAGCTCGATTCAAAAATTGGAAAGTAAGTACGTAAAATGCTACTTGATTATATTATTTTAGTGTTATTATAGTATGTAACTATTAACTTTATGTAAATATTATTTTTATTCAGTAAGGAATTATGACTATACAAGAACTAATTCTAAATTAAACATTAATAATTAAAGACTTTTTCATAATATGCAAAACATTCTTAAAAAAATTAAACTATCATTCGCTTACCTGGATACACAAGATAAAGTAGTAAAAATGCCTTTTAAGAACTACATTGATGATCTAAATATTATTATAAATTTATTAAATACGCACATTTTAAGTTATGATAAGTAGGTATAGAGTTAAAAATGCCAAGACTGATTGATTCACTTGGGGAAATTCTTAATTTATAGTAAAACTATTTTTCTTTCCCTTTCCTAATTTTGCACGAAGGGGGAAAAAAGTGCATTCTTCAATCTTTCAAATGAATTTAACAAAGTGCGCAAAGCATATTTGGAGTTATTATCGCTTATAACAAATATTCCAAAATTTAAGTCATAAATATCAGTTTTAATCAGCCTCCAGTATCATGTGGGGGTGCGCCCTGTAGGGAAATTAGAGATACAATAACACGCCGAACAAGTATTAATTTAGTAGTCAAACAACAAAAATCAGCGTTATATTTTCAAATTTATCCAAATACCGAACTATCATCCTCAGCTGCAAAAGCGGAAAAAACCCATCTATCTTAACCAAGTCTTGCGTTCAGCTGCTGAGGATGGTGGTTCGGTATAACCATAGAAACTAGCCCTGTGAAAATTTGAAAATGTAACTCTGATTTTCGTTGTTTGACTTCTGAATTAATAGTTAGACTTGTACATTTTAAATTTCCTATATAGATTTTTTTAGCAGCTAAAAAGTGTAGAAAAGCGATCGAGAAAATAATAATAATAATAATAATAATAATAAATCTGAAGGCTTTCAGGTTTTACATTACGCCCAAAGTCGCGTTTTCTTAACCTTTTGTGTGTTACCATTATTTATTAAATGTCATATCCTTCGCACTTAAGCCATACAATTCAATTTAACTGCAATATCACAAAATATTTAAAATAGCATATTTTTAGAATTTCCGATACACAGTCTCACGCGTTGGAGATAACTTTTTTTCGTACAGTGTTGCCATTGCTCGCTTTAAAATCGTTGAGTTTCTAAATCAAAAGCTCATAAATGCTTTAAAAAATATGAAAGATTTGTGGAGAGGATGACTTGAAATAAAAAATTAGAAACTCAAAATTACTAACTTTAATTTGGCTACGTCCCCTTCTTGGAATCTAAGCTGTGTCACTTGGAAACTAATCCCTATGTCATCTGCAGTGCCGTTAGCTCTTATCCAGTCGCAGTCCAAAGTTTAAACAAAGAATTCAACTTTGATAAATACACTTTTGCGGAAATTTGCAGTTTCTTTTCCACTCTCTTGGCCTACTGGCACGTGCCTGATCGCTTCGGTTTATTGTGTACTGGCTCGAAATGTGATAAGTTGTATATAAAACTGTGAGGGCATGTCGCATCCGTAATGATATGTAAACCGACAATATATGTCCTAGGAAATTATTCATCAAAAATAAAATTATGTAGTGAATATCGAGCTGCTTTTGTCTCCAAATTCCGTCCTTTTATTACACATCATATCTCGGCCATGACTAAAATATAAGTGATGTATTCTCTCCTACCCACACTAAAATATTTCTATTTCCAAAACTTCAAGTCATCATCACTACAAAATTATCATAATTCATAGACACGTAGTTGAGTATTAACCACATAATTTTATTTCTTGATGAATAATTTTTAGGACACATATTCATGGTTTACACATCCCTGTGAGTGCGGCAAGCACCCCACAATTTTATATACAGCATACCGCATTTTAAAACAATACACGATACACTGAAGCAATGAGACATGCGCTAGCAGGCCAACAGAGAGTAGAAATGTAACTGCGCATTTCTTTAAAGGGGTATTTATAAAAGTTGAATCCTTTGTTTATACTTTGGACTGCAATTAGACAACAGCTTACGGCACTGAAGATGAAAAAATGCGGGTTAGCTTACAAGTTACGCAGCTTAGATTCCAACAAGGGGAGGTAATTAAAATTAGTAATTTTGAGTTTCGTATTTTTTATCTTATATTTTTATTTAGAAAAATTAATAGTTCAAATAAGCAAGACATTTCTGGTTGAATTTGATTATGGTTTGGGGTTTATGTACTATTTGGCTATGAAGTTCGCTAAACTTAGCTATTACTCCCTGGTCGATAAAATTTACGAGTAGCAATTATGCCATTTCATATTTTGATATAAGAAAGGTGGAACTCTTAATTTAAATGCTTTCATTATTTACTTTAGTTAACATGCTCATTTATATACATTTAAATTGCACAATTTCATTTGAAAGAAATTAGTGACAATTTTTAGTTTGTACTCAACTTCCCTTCTTAAGGTACAATAATCCAAAATTGACACTTGCAATACACTTTAGTGCAATACGGCATAAATCAAGAGATGCATGATTTTAAATTAAAAAGCTGTTATTTTTTCACGTGATAAAATAATGATATAATGAACCTCGAAAATGCTGCAATGATCTTGGATTTTTGAATTAAATTATAATTTCCTCTTACACGAACAATTTTTTTCCATTAGGTCTTTACAATGTTCAAGACTAAGAGTGCACAAAAACTTGGTTGTGGCTCTCATAATCCACTCTCTGATGCTTGTCGTCATTTCTTTGCCAGTTGTTGGAGGACCAGGTGTACCTTCTTATAGAGATCTCGTAAGTTACCAGTGCATTATTATATTATTTCTCCTCTTTTATTTCACTAAATTGTTTGCACACGAGGCTTACAATGTCTACTTCTCTCAAGTGGCAACATTTCCTATTCACTAAGACATGAAATCTGCGAACTAAAGACACCAAGCAGCTGAAATTGATTTCCTTAAGAAATATTTAAACAAAAAATTAAAAATATAAAAATCTGAAGGTTTTCAGATTTTAGATTACGCTTAAAGGAGCGTTTTTTTTTACGTTTTGTGTATTACCTTTATTTATTAAATATCATGTTCTTGGCACTTAAGCCATAAATTTCAATTCAACAGTAACATGACAAAATATTTAAAGCAGCATATTTTCAGAATTTCTGATACACAGACTCGCGCGCTGGAGGTAAATTTTTTTTTCTGTATAGTGTTGCCATTACTCGCTTTGAAATCGTTGAGTTTATTAATCAAAAACTCATAAATGCATTACCAAATATGAAATAGATAATAAAAAAAATTCGGGTGGAGACGTACGTTATACAAAATTTGATGTCTGTAGGTACTGTTGTTTTATCAAAACGCCAGAAACATACATACATTTCTGCGGCATCGATTTAAAAAGTGATTCACCGTTTATAGTGAATCAACGCAAAATGCCGAAACGAAATTAATAGCCTTTCTGGGCAAATTTCCGCTTTGGGCCTAAAACTTTTATCTTGACGTATTGGGTGTAGGGAGCAGATATGCTATGAAACGTCGGTTTTTTTTCCTTAAATAATTAATGATTTATTTTAGTTTGCTATTTATAGTGCTTACTTTTATTTCCGTAATTTTATTAATTACTGCTCTTCATACATTATTGGATTCTTATGTACTATTTTCATTCTTCACTTTACTGTCCCGTGGGCTGTCTTGAACCTAAATTTAACCTGCATATACTTGTACAATCATTTTGCTTTTCAATATTTTAGAAATTTTTACTTTTTTTCAATAGTTTTGAAACTGCATAGGGATAGACTTGTGAATCTAGTTCGTTATCAATAATTAATTTTGATTATTCATCTTGTTAAAAAGCTCTCACCAATGAATTGGCAGTTCAGAAAAGCAGCTAACGGAATTATACATTATGTCACCTTATCTGATGAAACATATGTATAATTTCACTGTCGATTAATTTTGTTTATTTTAATTTTCAAGTCGCTTCTTCCTTCGTATTTTAAATTAAGAGATAACCTGTGGGTATTTTTCTAATTTGTGCCTGTATTATATTGTTATTTACTTATTATAGTTATAATAATCTTAATCGTATTTGCAATTTATCATGTATTTTATTTTATATTTGCATGTATACACGTTATTATTGCTTTTATTTTTATTCTTTATACATTTTAATATACTATAAACTAACTCTGGTTAAGAGAAACTCACGTTATTCAATATTTCGGTTTTATATTATACACACATATTTTTTTCTCTACGTACATACTTAGTTACGCATACTTATTAACAACAAATATTTAGCTGCAGAAAGCAAGCATTATAATTACGTGTATCAGACTTATAAGTCTTAACTTGAAGCAAAATTTAATGGAAAAATAAAAAAGCCAACTTTTTAAATTAGAACGTCATTTTCCCGCGTTCTGTAAAATTCAAGGATAAAGTATATTCTTCTTTCATACACAAATCTTGGTAATGAGGTCACTGTAGACATAAAATCAGTTTCGCTTGGAAAATATGTTGCTAATTATTTTGTCTGCCTTTTTTGAGTCCCTTGGAGGCCACGAAAATTATATTTCCTGCAAAAATGAAGTGTTTCTTTAAAGCGTAAGTCTCTAGTTACATAATGATAATAAATGTGGCTACTTCTCTACGAGGTGTTCGGTTCTCAAGAAAATAAAGTAATTAATTAATTTTGTATGATTTTTAAAGTTTTAAGACTGCAGCTTTGTTCATTTGATTTTGAAGTTTAACCTGACCACCACTGAAAAAGAGAGCTTTCGAGTAAAGTTTTGTTCTTTCGCTTGGACATGAATTAAAGATAATACATTTCAGTTAGAGACATTCGCAAATGATACTAACTTAAAAAATAAATGTTAAACAACTGCGAGTTAATTTTAAATAAATATATGGAAATGAAATTACTGAGGACGTTAAACGATCATCTTAAATTCTGAAATGATTTATATTTTTCAAAATCCACGTCGTTATTTCTAATTAAGTAAAAACTTATCCGTATTACATTCGGATTTTAAACATATGAAATTAAATGAATTTTATATTAAGTCAGCGAAGAAGTTCCTTTAACCAACTGGATTAAAGTTACTTAAAAAATGCATCCTAAATAATAAAATGATGGGTACTTACGTATTAACGCAACCATCCTGGAGCATTCTGGAGATTGTTTACAGATGGAAAGGTAAAAATTACCTATTGGATGCATGGTTCTGTCATATTTCGGAATACATTCGGAGAAGAAAAAAATGCACATATCTCAAATATGCGTCCCATATTTTATTGGAAATGCATTTTTCGAATCAGAAGAATTTACTTATGAAGGTGTTTACTTTTCAGAACTGGCTGTGCAAGACTGTGGTATCTATTAAAATGTACGCTGCTTTATCCAGCATCAACTGGATGTTCGTCGAAGGGATGCTTCTCCACAGCAGAATAACTACAAACATTTTTCAAAAGGATGCTCCCTTCAAACTCTACTATCTGATTGGATGGGGTAAGTTATTTTTACTCACAGTATACCCGTTCAGAATAATTTGTTGTGACAGAAGTATCAGCATAATTTTGTTCGTAACATGTACGAAAACTTATTGTTTTGAAGATTTTTTAAGATGGTGAAACTAATGCTAGAATAAAGTATGCACCTTAAACGCATCGTAGAAAGGAAATTGTTTCCAGTTTCTGTTAAAGATTATTTAGAACATTTAAAAAAGTTTTCTTTGGGCCTTATTTCATAAATTTTGAACCTAATCATTTAGTTCTTAAAATAAGAAAATTTCTGAAAATAGGACAAAATAGTTTAGGAAAGGTTTTTAACATTATCTATGAAAGTTGTATGATTCCTGTGAAACAAACTTTCTAATTAATAAAATATTAAGTGTGATATAATGAGTCAAAATATAACACTTCCTAATCTGCAGAATTTCCAGCTATGTGTTTAATACATATTTTAAAGCAAAACTCACATATTTAATAAATTATGCAGATTCACTTATGACGTAACTAACGACAGAAAAATGCAACTTTCGCTTTTGTCAATTCCTCCTTTTGTACTAATTTAAATCATAACTGGAAGAGAAGAATAAAATAAATGAGTATATTCTTTCTTCAGTAAATCAAAAAAATTTGCAAGTAAACTATGGAACTTATTTTTTAATAAGCGTTTCGCTAATTGAAATTTATAACTTTATATAAAGTTAGAACAAAAACCTCCCACTTACAGTATTCATAAATATTCCTTAAATTTAGTATTTTATATAAAAAATTTTGAAAAGAATACACCTCCCAGATTAATATTAAATAACTGAAGACTATCGCTATCTTTTCGGTAATCATGCATATATTTTTAAGCAAAATATGAAATATATTCCAACAATCTTCATTCTTGCCATTGTAGAGTTTATATTTATTTTAACTAACATTTATTTTAAGTTTAAACTATCTTTCCTGTCAAGCCTTACTTTCCCCTGGAATTGCCAATGCCAGAGTATGTAAATTTTAGTAGAACGCGCAAGGATAAAAATTGTCAGCGGAAGTAATCTGAGTAAAATAGAAGGAAAACGAGTTCGAAGGTGTGTTTTCTTGCTTCACGAGCGTGGAGGTGGCTAGTTAGAAATTGAAGAACCACGCGTTTCGGCCTGTGTGCTTGCCTCGACAGATTGTTAATCTTTCAACGTAATATTCAGAAGTTTGCTGAATTATCAGCGGTATTTTAGAGAACGCGGTGAGGTTAGTTACGTTTAGAGAGCCTCGTAGTTAGTCGCTTGTTACTATTCTTTTCTTAGTTTCTTATTTTTTGTTTACCGCCGGGTCGGCGTAGTTTGTGAGCGTCAAGAGCACGCATTTGTAATTTCTAAAGTTGAATAAAAAGGGATTTAAACCCTCTCAAGACTTTGTCTACTTTCCAGTTTCTTAGCAGTCACCACTATTGTTGCGTGCAGGTTGGAAGCGCGCAACGTTACATTGGCGCCCAAACACTTGTCGAACTGAAATGGCCGAAAATTGGACGGAAGTTTCTGGACGACAACAGAGAACTGGCAAGCCAATTGGAAGGATTTGGATACCTGGTCCAGACGAAGAGAGCGTCAATTAAGCCAAACGTCAATTTCGACGCAAAAAATTCGGTGGCAATATTTTTAGAAGGCCTAGACATATCACTTTCCAGCTCTACCCTGTGCCTGAAAGACAAATAGTTGCCATCGCCACATCTGCCAATAAGAGGACAGGGCCGCACTATGGTGGAAGAATATAGGCAAATTTTTATTAGGGGAATTCGGAGGCCAGACATATAAATTTGAAAATTTCAAAAAATCGTTATTAAAGGCCTTCCCCATAGTGAAAGATCGAGCAAGGCTAGAAGCCGAACTGTATAGTTTTTATCAACGGAATATAGAAGAGTTGACGGACTTTATTCTGCGAAAAATTAAACTGACAGATATGCTGTATGGGAAGAAACCCGACGCGGAGATTATTGAAATAATCTTACCAAGATTACTACCTGCTGTTCAAGATTATTTTGAAATTAGAAACCCAAGCACATTGCAGGAGCTCTTCGAATTGGCGGTCAAGTTTCAAAATCGAAGAATAGCGGAAAAACCTAGAGGGGCATCGTATTCTCAAAGTATCCGAAGGCAATCTTCAAATGAGCAAACCAGAAATGCAAACCGCTCTTATGGGGGAAAGAGCTATCAAGCTAACTCATCGAAGCTCGAAGGTCAAGGCCCGAAAAGGAAATTTGAAAACAACCGTCCGCGTACCCAGAAGGCATAAGTTGAAAGGAAAGCTTTAAACGAGTAGAGGGGCCTGTGAAATTGAGGGTCCAGACCCCGGAAGGTTTGAAAAAAAACCTCAAGAAGACACTTAAATACGGTCATTGTAAAGAACTCACAGTTACCAATTATACAAGTCCTGGTTGGCGATGTACCAGTAGAAGCCCTCATCGATACAGGAGCAGAGAGGTAATTTTATGAGTGATATTTTTTTAAAGAAGAATTTTAATAGGTTTCGATTATTTAAAAATAAAAACACGGAAATCATAGCACCACAAGGACAAACTTGTCAATGTATCGGAAAACTATCTTTAAAAATACAAGTTCAAAATGAAAGCCTTAAAGTATTAATTTTTGTAGTAAAAAATTTGCAAAGTCCACTTATTTTAGGTATGGAGTTTCCAAAAGCCGCGAAGGCCAAACTGAATTTTCATGAAAGTTCTATCGTGCTGGAGATGGATCGGAGGGTGGTGGAACCAGTGGAACAACCGCAAGTCGACCTTAGCCATTTGAGATGTCCATGAAAGCCAAGCCATCCGGCAAGTGGTGAGTACTTTTTCAAAAGTTGTTTTCAGAACGGCCTGGTAGTCTGTCAAATTGTAAAGCATGATATACAACTACCTGCCGAATAAACCCTGTAGGACTAAACCCTACCGGTATGATAAACAGAAAGAACAAATTATTGAGGAACACATTCAGAAAATGCTGCAGAACCAGATAATAACACCCATAAATAGTGAGTACGCGAGTCCAATCGTACTATGTTGGAAAAAGAGCGATTTCCCTCCTTCGGATAAAAGGGCTTCGAGGTTAGCTATCGATTACAGAAAGCTTAATAGTATTACTAAGTTCCCGGTTTACGCTTTGCCGGTTAATAGAGGAAATTATTAGAAAGATCAAATCTACAAGATACATGTCTACTTTGGGCTTAACGTCTAGCTACTATCAAATAGCTATGAGACCCGAAGAAGACATACATAAAACCGCGTTTATAACAAAATCGGGCACTTATGCATTTTTACGCATGCCTTGGGTTGTGTGGGGCCCCATCAACATTCCAGAGAGCTATTGACATTGTTCTAAAGCCTGTCCTAGGAAAATCGACTTTAATTTATCTAGATGATATAATTAAAACGATTAGTACGTTGGAGCAACATATTAAAGGACTTGGAAGAGGTTTTTAAATTATAAAAAGAGGCCGGTCCTACAATTAACGCATCGAAATGCAAGTTCGCGACAAAAGAACCTAAATACCTGGGTTATAAAATTTCGCAAAAGGGTATAGCAAATCAGGTTTCAAAAATAAAACCATCAGGAATTTCCCACCTCCCAATACCGCCAAGAAATTTTCTTCTTTCCTCGGGTTATGTTCTTATTACCGGTCGTTCATAAAACATTTCGCTGATATTGTTGAACCGTTGTTAGTAATTAAAAGAAAGAGAAGTAAATTTACGTGGACAGCTTTTTTAGGAAGCAAATACAGCATTTGAAAGATTAAAAAAGCGCTCATCAATGCCCCTGTTTTGAAATTCCCGGAGGGGGACGAAAACCTGGAAATTGCAGCAGATGCGTCGGACTATGCGGTGGGTGCGGTTCTTATGCAAAATAGCCATCCTCTGGCATTTTTTTTTAGTAAAACATTGAATCAGACACAAAGGAATTATACAGCTACAGAGAGAGAGAAGAAACATTAGCCGTATTAATGGCTGTACACAAATTTCGAGTTTATTCGGCAAAGCGCCAGTAACAGTCTTTCGGATCATGCGGCTGTTAGTAGACTTTTACTTGGGAAAAACCTAACGCCCAGGTTAATAAGATGGGCTTTAAAACTCCAAGAATATAATCTAATAATAAAATATAAACCGGGTAAGGAAAACAATGAGCTGACGCACTTTCTCGTATAAAACTGGACGACGAAGGAAATGAACTTAAATGCGCTGTGTTGACTTCAAAAATTTTAGATTCTAGAGATACAATTATCACTGAACTGAAAGCTGATCCTGAATTTGGAAATATCTATACATATTTGAAAGACCCCGAAAGCTTTGAGAACACAGATATCGATGCGATAAGAAACAGAGCAGAAAGTTCTTACTTTCCAGAACTTTCTTGGAATATCTGGACAACACATAACCTGGCTTAATTCTTCTTCTTTTACTCTTGTCCTTAGAACACGTTAGGCCTCTCATTCTTGTATTTTAACGTAATTCTCAATGCCTGGTTTCTAACAACAAAATTTACTACTGAATTTGTTTCAGCATATTCCGTTCACTGCGATAGCTCAAAATATCCTTCTTAAACATTCAAACGCAATTAAGACACAATAACACGCCGAACAAATACTAATTCAGAAGTCAAACAGCAAAAATAGCAGCGTTATATTTTCAAAATTTTCACAGGACTAGTTTTGATGGTTTTACCGAACCACCATCCTCAGCTGCAAAACCACAAATGAACGAGATAGGATATAATGATTAGATAAGATAAGAAAGCCCGGACAAGAATAAGCAAGTGACGCCATCTGTTGAGGAAACCAGAAGTAAAACATGATTTCTTTAAAGGCCGAAGGCAAAGTTGAATTGGAATTAGGATCGTTAACTAGAACAGAAAGATTTTTTTGAATGTGAAATGCCTCTAGAAAATCCAGTTCTCCAGTGGAAGATCTTTGCAGTTTTGCAGCTGAGGATGGTGGTTCGGTAAAACCATCGAAACTAGTCCTGTGAAAATT